TATGTATATATATGTGTGTATATATATATCTCACAAGACTGTGTAGACTCCTGTGAAAGTCTTGAGTACATCCCATTATTTAATAAGTTGTAGAACCACCTTTTGTGACAAAAACTTGAAGTCATCTTTTTGTGACTGTCACATGACTCTTTAAAAATTGCTTCAGTTCAATCAGATTTGCAGTTATTTGTTTATTTACAGCTCTTAAGGTTCTGCAGTTGGATTGGAGTTTGGACTGAGCATTAAAGTGCTTTGATTCCTTTATTTTTTATCCAATTCTGATGTAGATTTGCATGGCACCATTGTTGTATGAGCCAGTTTCAGCCAAGCTTTAGCTGCTGGACAAATGTCTCACATTTGACTCTGAAACACTTTTGTATGCCAAGTAGTTTGCAGTTGATTCAATGACTACAAGGTCTTATGCCTCAAAGTAAGCCTAAATCATCACGCCTTCATCACCATCAGCCAGACTGAACAAAACCAAGTCAAGGGAAGAATAACTCCTGTTCATTTTACAAATGATTTTTGACTTTTAAAGTCCACTCTGGGCTTGCACTGCATATCGAACATTTCCTGACACTGTGTGGCCTTGGTCTTAACTTGAGGTCCTCAGCTAGGACTCAGCCACTCATTCCACAGTCTTGACTCATAACCACATCAGAATTTTTTTTTATCAGGCTGCCGATTCTTTGAAACATTCTTCCCGACAAGATCAGATTGGCTTTTTATGCCTGCACTTTGATTTATTTCTGTGTTGTGATTATTTTCCTTTTTTTCTTTTTTTGTTATTTTATATTTGCTTTGAAATTTTTTATTGCTGCTTTTCCCTCATACTTAATGTTGTTTTACGTTGTTGATCTCTTCTTAAATGGTTCATTTGCTGTTTTCTTTCTATTTTGTAACAGAAAGAAAACTTTTTTTTTTTTTAGATCACTTTATCACTACCAAAATATCTTTCAGATGTGTTTTATATTATTGTGTTACAGTAAAAATTCTTATCTTTGCTAAAAAAAAAAGAACATTGCCCTACACACTCACGGAGTATTGGCATTGCTGGCACTTCTTCAAAGGTGTCATATTAAGCTAAATTAAAAACGTGACATTTTTGTGTTGTGCTGCAGGTTCGTCAGCTGGAGAGAACGGTGAGCCTGAGGGACCTGTCCATCGTGGAGATGGAGGGAAAAATGAGAGAAATGTCCGCAGCCACTTATGACGGCATATTTGTCTGGAAGATCTCTGATTTCACCAAGAAGAGGCAGGATGCTGTGGCTGGCCGGGCCCCTGCTATGTTCTCTCCTGGTAACCACATTACACGATGAATTCCTGATTAAGGATTTCCACTTCCTGATGGAAGTAACATGACACTTGATTATTAGTGTTATTATTTAATGTACTGATGTTAATAATTTCCAGCCTTTTATACCAGTAAATATGGCTACAAGATGTGCTTGCGGATCTACCTGAATGGTGATGGGACGGGGCGAGGCACCCACCTGTCTTTGTTCTTTGTGGTGATGAGAGGACACAGTGATGCACTCCTCAAGTGGCCTTTTAATCAAAAGGTGAGAGCTTTATCATTCATGTTGCATGTATGAAATCCTGCATGTTTTCCATACAACATTAGTTACAGGAAAAAGTTGAGATTTTATAGTTATACATAAATATGAAGTCAAACATTATCAGATTTTCACACAGGTCCCATAAGTACTTAAACATGAATCATGTAATTAAACTTTATTTCTTCAGGATTAAATATTCTGTATCTGTGAAGATTAGCAGAAAATGCAAAGATTAAATTAGAAACAATCCGTTGATTGTTTTTCCACATTTATCCAGAAATCTGAGGCAGAGGTCCAAAGTTACCAAACATTTTTTTTTCTGCAATTTTATGTTCAAACATGGCCTCTGCACTGGTGGAAGTGATCATTGTCAGTTTTGAATGAGGCAACATCGGCTAGCAAAAAGCAAATCGGATACAAATGCAAATACAAATTAGATGCAAAGAGACAAATTTGCACCGGACGAAGGAAATGGAAGCTGTGTTCCTGATGGCACTGGCATACAAAAACAAGATATGGTTATTGTGGCCATCTTGTGCTGTATGATTAAACTAGTGTTTTTATTAAGAGCTCTAAAAATGTGTACTGTAACTTAATGTACATTGTTGGATGTCTTCCCATTGGCTGTTGTGACCAAGTATTTCCAAAAACATTAGAGCAAGTGTATTTGCATGAGTTACAGAAGGCAAAACTTTGGTTCATGTTTGCTGTAAACACACATTAAAAATCTTTAATCAGAAATTGCATTCTGAGAATTTGAACTTATTAGTGCATGTCAATGAAAGGAACAAGGTCTTTAAAACCTACATTCTTAATGTCAGTGGCTGAGGTCAAGGCAGCTTTCCAGAGAAATGATTGGGCATTAAGTGGTGGGCTTTTATGCATAAATCTACTTGAACAACGTCATTGTTTTTTCTTGTGAGAGTAATTACACTTCTGCACTCCTAACGTCTGCACAGGTCACCCTTATGCTGCTCGACCAGAACAACAGGGAGCACATAATTGATGCCTTCAGGCCTGACATTTCATCCTCATCCTTCCAGAGGCCTGTCAGCGACATGAACATCGCCAGTGGTTGTCCGCTCTTCTGTCCGCTCTCAAAGCTGGACTCTAAAAACTCCTATATACGTGATGACACCATTTTCATCAAAGCCATTGTAGACCTAACAGGCCTTTAGGTAAAAGTTGAGGGCATGAATCCGACTCTGCCTTTTGTTGCTACTAACCTGTTTAAGTCAACAGGATTTTGTATCACGAGAAATTAGGATTTGCCTTTTGACATTTATTTGGTTTTTTTGAATTTGGTATGATTTTATTGGTGGCAATATGCAAGACCAGAGCAAGTTCTTTTGGGCCACTTGCCACTGGCCAAAAACTTGTGTAGCCATTCTTATCTTACCAATTGAACTGAGTTTGTGTTTGACAAAAATTGCAAATACCTACCAAAGTGAAAATAACATCCATACTGGTATTTGGCTGATAATGTGTTATTTTCCCTCCCCCAAGAAGTCCCTCAGGCCAGTGTTTTGAAACAACTGTGCTATCCTAATGACAAAATAATAGAGAATAGCTAGCATGCTTATTATAAGTCCATCAAATGAAGTGTACGTTTTTTTAAGGAGTTTTTTTTTACAAACTCCTTAAAAATCTAATATTATTGGCAACCCTTAAAAGATTTAACAACAGGAGATTCGTTTAGCTGATAATGTTTTATTTAAGTTTCCAGACATGTGTCTGACAACTTGGTGATGTGGTAAAAATAATTTTTATCTCCTTAGTACTGTTTTTGTCTCCACCAACTCTTAAAAAGGTTTTTGTGGCTTGTTAGCTAGCTAGCTAGCTAAACTAGCTACCAACTATCTTGTTAGCTTAATTTGTTTTCAGACAGTAGGTTTGGCAGTGAAAACAACTGCCTGCTGTTGGGAACAGGCTGAATCAGAGTGGTGTGACTGAATTAAAACTGTGTAATAGAGCTGTTTTATATGACATGTAGTTTTGTGGCCAATCATTAATATAGAAATTCTGGTAGAGCAGCTATAAAAAGAAAAAAACAAACCAACTGTCCACTATAGTGCTCATGTTGAAGCTAATGCTAATTTGTTAGCTTATTTTAAGCATTTAGCTTAAATTTGCAACACCAAAACCTGTCCTAAATGACTGAAAATATTGAACCTTAGACCAGTGACAACGTAGCTTTGTATTTTGAACGACTTACAGACATTGCAAGGTCTAGGCTCTTTATTGAGTTTATTGCCTAGCATTTGGTAAGCTGTTTTTGTTTTTTTTTCTTTACAGTCAAGTTTGTCACACTGTTAAAGGAACTGTAACAGTGTGACACCCATGTAGCCTACAGAATATTGCGCAGCTGTGCACACAGTTTGTAGTGCAGTAGAATTTCAAACTGGTTTGCTTTTTTTTTTTTTTCCCCATTCTGTGCCTCCAACTCAGACTCCTGTGTTCATTGATAATCATTTGTGGTGGTGGGCATTGCTTGAATTCCATGAATTCTGAATGCAGTATTTCACTCGAACGTTCGGTCTGTGAGTGTCTGTGTTCATGTGTACACTGTTCCATTTCTATTGTTATTTGCAGGGTTAGTTAATGTTGGATCTGTGGAAGATACAGTAGCTTGCAGCAGTGTGCTGTTTGCCCATGAAACAGTAACAGAGATGGTAGTTGAGCTGATTTGCCCAAATGGAAATGCAACATATTTTATTAAAAATAAACATATATTTGCATACAGGTTCTAAAAAAGTCTATAAGTATCTTTTGATAGTAATCTCTGGCTTTTTCAAAAAAGTATTTGTTCTAGCTAATCCAGTTGATGTCGATTGCTTGGTTTGTAACGTTGTTCAGTTGGTTAGTACATGTTAGAATAGCATCCACAGCCAATGGGACGTTTTTTTTTCTAGCTGAATATTACATTGTAAAGAAATGATTAATGTTTTTCACTTCCCCTGTCAGTGGTTTTAATATTGTGACAGTTCGTCCATGTGATACTTGGGACAGTTTACTTGTTAAACTCTCAAAAGCTCCTGAGATGGGATGAGACAAATCACTGAAACTGGTGACACTGAAAGGAAATGTGCCCCCTACTAGCTAGTGGGTAACATGATTTTCTCTATGAACAGTACCTTTAACAGTACAGAAAGTACATCAAGTGTGATCACAGAAACACAAAGTCAGAACAAAACTACACTGAAACATGAATACAGTGATGCAAAGTGAGAAAATAACTACTATGATACAGACTAATAAAATAAGTACAAAGTGATTCAAAACCACAAGCTGGGGAAAATGACCATAAGTAGCTAAATCAAGAGAATGTCACCAAAGAGATTTAAAAATGATTTAAAGCAACAACTACAGAAAGATGCAAATCTATTTTGAAGAGAGTACATAACTGCAAAGATCAAACAACAAAGACTAAAGGATTACAAAGATATGCAGAGAAAATGATGCAGAATAAACAGATTCAGGGAGATGGATTACTATTCCAAAACAAGACCTACAAAGAAAAATCCTGAAGACCAATGGCTACAAAATGATATCACCTATCATCAACATAATTTCAAGAGAGATATATTTGCAGGAAGATTTAAAACGATCTAAAAGAAGGAAAATGACTACGCAGAATAACTAAAAACAGACCTAATAATTACAAAGAGAGACAAAGATATGCAGAACAACTTCAAAGAGCCATCTCTTCAGCGAGATGCAAAGCAATTTTAAAGATAAAAAATGTCCACAAAAAGAAAATAACTGTCCCCACAAGAAGCCCCAGAACAAACAGATATGTTGAATGAATAAAATGAGATTCAGATGACTTCAAAGACACAGAGAGATGCAAAAAAAACCACAAAGACCAGATGACTCCACAAATAATGTAAAACATAAATAGATGTAAAATAACTACAGAAGAGATTGCTTTGAAATGGTTTTCAATGTCAAAAAGATAGGACAAACTTAATCAGCAAGTACAGCGACAGTGCGATATGAAAAATAATTTCAGTGATGGAAAATTCCCATAGGGGAATTTAAAATGTGTACAGAGACAAAAAAAAACACCCACCTCAAAGAGAGACAAGAGTACACAGACATGCATAAAACAGTCACGCACTGAGATGTAATGAGTACATGGACACGCTGCTTGTAGTCATTTTGTGTTTCTTCGAGTCTCACCGTCTAGTTCTTTTGTCACAGAGGGTCTCATAGTCTTACAGGCTACTTTAAGTTACAAACCGTAGCGTTTAATTGATATTATTTAGCTTAAATGATTTAATCTTCATGCTGTGAGGTTATTAGATGCAGAAAACTTCAAGATTGCTGTATTTTCATATGGGTGTAACCTTTGTTCTCAGACACAGGCGTGTGGAGACTGGAGCTGAGTGAGATACGAAAATCTTGGGTTGGAATCCGAGTTGAGATATTAAGCGAGCAAATTTTTGATGATGTTGTAATATTATCCTATTTTTGGCTTTCTTCACAGGTTTGAACTGACCTACTTTTTACAGAAAAAAGAAGTGCCTGTACCTGTAGTGTTTTTTTTTTGTTTTGTTTTCACGATCCCATTAGGATGAGAATGTGCTTTTCTGTGAGTTCAAACTCACAATATGACGCTTTTGATTTGTGTGGTGTATTTATTTATTTTTTAAAATTCAGCATTTTTATTATCCTTCTTTTACGAGGCCCCTTTACTAGATGTGATAAAACTTAAGTGACTTAAGAATGTTTCTCTTTACATACATAAACTAGTGAATGTTAGATGTTATCTTTAATGGAAAACGAGGTCAGCGCATTGTAACTCGCAGCTTTTGGCATCTGCACCTAAACACATCAGCATGTTTTTAAATCTGTCAAAGGACACTGATACCTCTCTGTGCATGAGATGTGTCAGTAGGAAAAAAATACATGTATTACTGGTTCATATTGTAGACCAGCATTTTATTTTTTTATGATTTCTTGATATAGTATAAAACATATGAGTGTGTGTGATCTAATTTTGATGCTGTGCTCAAGTTTGAAGTGTGTGTGAGTTAACCATATCTTAATAATACATAGATTTTATTTATTGAAGAAGTTATATGTTGAGACAGTTTAAAAGCATGCGTTAGCTGATGGTGACAAGATGCAGCTGCGGTCTGACCTCAGCAGCTTTTTTTGCTTTCTGGTTATTTCAGAAACATATTTCCTCTGTTATTCTCTTTAGAATACATTGGTATTATTGCACATTATGTAGATTACATTTTGCATGTGTAACTGCAGCATCAAATGAATTAGCTGCTACATTTGTGTGACCCTCCAGTGTGCGCTGATCGGAGCTCATAGATGCAGCCTTGCAAGCACTATGCGGACATTCATATTTAATCTTACAAAATGTGCGACCTGATGTGAGCCAGGACTTCAAATTTCTTCTTAACAAAAGGGCTTCACATTTCCTTTTCATCCCCTAAATGTCACATGCAGACATACATAGACATGTCCAGTTTTGGTCCAGCTTATAGCTTGAACTGTTTAATAGAGGGGAAAAAAAGAAAGGAAAAAAAAAAACCTTCACAGGCTGGGGAACAAAGTCACATTTGAGCCGATTGATGTTATGCTGTATCAGCGATACTGACTTGTAGGAAATGCCACACTGCCTCACTGTTATTGCAACAGAATAAACACTATGTCGATGTGATGTGTGAACTTCAAATAACTCTTCAGAGCTGACAAACTAAACCAGGTTGGTTTAAATTATTTACATATCTGTTTCTCTCTTCGTGGATCCGAAGCCCATGTTGAGATTAAGATGACGAGCTTTCATCTGTAGCAATGACATCAAACTGCAGTCTTACTTGTTGTTCTCTCTGCTACATTCTGTGGATAGTAAGTCACGTGTTAGTAAACTCTTTGTACTACAGGAAATTTGTTCCATATTTGTATTTAATTTTGACTTATTAAAGGTTTTAAGATGCCCTCTATGCAAAGAACTGCCATGTCTCTCAATTTGTTCACACTCATCAATGTCCTTGAATTCACTTCTACCACATGAGGGCGCTCAATGCAAACACATACACATACAGTATTCTGTCCTTTCAGAGGGTAGGCCAAATTCATGGATCATAGTAATGTCATGTGATGGACTGAAAACAAATGGCATTTATGCTGATAATTAATCAAACACATTAAAAATTAACAGTAACTTTTTCTTTTTTAGAAATAACATAGAGGGTTTAAAGAGAGTTTTGCAAACCTATAAAATACTTTCTTTTAAAATATATACATTCAATGACTCGATATGATACTGAGTTGGCATAAAAAGGTATAGACTGTATATAAATGTGGGCCGCCTGGAATTAATACTGTATTCCACTTTCGGATGCAGTCAAACTAAAATGTTAACACATATGAATGTTTCTGAAAAGATGCATTCTGCCATCTTATGTATTTCTTACACTGATATAAGTCCAAGAGGCCATTTTTTCATACATTTGGTTCTAATCAATAAGTTACTGTTTTCAAACAGAGTTCAGTATCATTGTTAGCTGGAGTCACAAAGGGTATCTCTATTCAGGAACTGTACATACAGTAGAAACAACTGACCAGAAATAAAGTGCTTACTCCAAACTTTGTCTTACCTCAACAGTCACTTTCAAACTGGACTAGCTGATCTGAATTAACATATTTCTGTAAGTTAAACATGGTTATAGCCGACACCTAAAAACAAAGGCTCTAGATGTCCTCAGATGCGAAAAATAATTTACAGTGGGGCAAAAAAGTATTTAGTCAGCCACCGATTGTGCAAGTTCCCCCACTTAAAATGATGACAGAGGTCAGTAATTTGCACCAGAGGTACACTTCAACTGTGAGAGACAGAATGTGAAAAAGAAATCCATGAATCCACATGGTAGGATTTGTAAAGAATTTATTCGTAAATTAGGGTGGAAAATAAGTATTTGGTCACCTCAAACAAGGAAAATCTCTGGCTCTCACAGACCTGTAACGTCTTCTGTAAGAAGCTTTTCTGTCCCCCACTCATTACCTGTATGAATGGCACCTGTTTGAACTCATCATCTGTATAAAAGACACCTGTCCACAGCCTCAAACAGTCAGACTCCAAACTCCGCCATGGCCAAGACCAAAGAGCTTTCGAAGGACACCAGGAAAAGTATTGTAGACCTGCACCAGACTGGGAAGAGTGAATCTACAATAGGCAAGCAGCTTGGTGTGAAAAAATCAACTGTGGGAGCAATCATCAGAAAATGGAAGACATACAAGACCACTGATAATCTCCCTCGATCTGGGGCTCCACGCAAGATCTCATCCCGTGGGGTCAAAATGATCATGAGAACGGTGAGCAAAGATCCCAGAACCACACGGGGGGGACCTGGTGAATGACCTGCAGAGAGCTGGGACCAAAGTAACAAAGGTCACCATCAGTAACACACTACAACGGCAGGGAATCAAATCCCGCAGTGCCAGACGTGTTCCGCTGCTGAAGCCAGTGCATGTCCAGGCCCGTCTGAAGTTTGCCAGAGAGCACATGGATGATACAGCAGAGGATTGGGAGAATGTCATGTGGTCAGATGAAACCAAAGTAGAACTTTTTGGTATAAACTCAACTCGTCGTGTTTGGAGGAAGAAGAATACTGAGTTGCATCCCAAGAACACCATACCTACTGTGAAGCATGGGGGTGGAAACATCATGCTATGGGGCTGTTTTTCTGCCAAGGGGACAAGACGACTGATCCGTGTTAAGGACTGAATGAATGGGGCCATGTATCGTGAGATTTTGAGCCAAAACCTCCTTCCATCAGTGAGAACTTTGAAGATGAAACGAGGCTGGGTCTTCCAACATGACAATGATCCAAAACACACCGCCCGGGCAACAAAGGAGTGGCTCCGTAAGAAGCATTTGAAAGTCCTAGAGTGGCCTAGCCAGTCTCCAGACCTCAACCCCATAGAAAATCTGTGGCGGGAGTTGAAAGTCCGTGATGCTCGGCGACAGCCCCAAAACATCACTGCTCTCGAGAAGATCTGCATGGAGGAATGGGCCAAAATACCAGCTACTGTGTGTGCAAACCTGGTAAAGACCTATAGTAAACGTTTGACCTCTGTTATTGCCAACAAAGGTTATGTTACAAATTATTGAGTTGTATTTTTGTTATTGACCAAATACTTATTTTCCACCCTGATTTACGAATAAATTCTTTACAAATCCTACCATGTGGATTCATGGATTTTTTTTTCACATTCTGTCTCTCACAGTTGAAGTGTACCTCTGGTGCAAATTACTGACCTCTGTCATCATTTTAAGTGGGGGAACTTGCACAATCGGTGGCTGACTAAATACTTTTTTGCCCTACTGTAGATGCTCTCTTGCTAGGCAGTAAGCCATCTTCTATGACGATTGCTCTCTCTGAAAGCAAACCAATAGCCATGATCCTGATCATGAAGGAAGTGGACAGTCTGTGTAAATGTTGGATGCAGCTCTACAGCTGCTAACAGATGTCCACAAAACTGACTTGAGTAAAAAAACGTGGAGGAGGAACACAACTGAATGTTACTCAAAAATGTACATCAAAATAAGATGATCAGAGATGAAGATTGCAAGGTTCAGGCAAAAGGGTTGGTGTCTGTACTGTAACTCTCTGTGTTAGTGTGGGGTCTTTACAGGTGACTGTTGTTGTGATTTGGCTGTATTTAATTAGACTAAATTAAAAATACTGCTTTTCTATGTTGTAATGCTAATGCTTAGTCTTCAGCTTTTAGAAGTAAGCATAAAGATCAAACAATGTTCTGAATATCTTATGATGAAACACATTCTACTAACAGTACTTGCCATTATATCCTCTTCTTTAATATGGGT